TGGATGGCCCATGAGGTCTCTTTCAACTCTTTGATTCTATGATTCTATGTTTTTTTCTTTGTCAGTTTGGCTCTCAATTATTATTATTTTTATTATTATTATTACTATTACTATTATTGTTATTACCATTATTATTATTATTATTATTATTATTATTATTATTATTATTGACTTCTTTACAACGTAACAGACTTTTCCACTTTGGAAGCCTTTAAAAAGGAGGTTGGATGGCCATCTGCCAGGAGTGCTTTAGCTTTGTCTTCCTGCATGGAAGAAGTGGGTTGAACTAGATTACCCTTTGGGGTCCCCTTCCAATTCTAATACTGGATTATGGACTTCTTTTGCAGGTACTGGACTCTCCTTCTTTGGAGGCTTTTAAATGAGGGTTAGATGGCCATCTGTCGGGAGGGTTTTAGTTGTGTCTTTTGGGAGCTTTTGCAAAATTTGAATCTGAAACCTGGAGTGCATTTCCTGTGCCAATGCCTCTCCAACAATAGAAGTAATAAGGCCACATGTGGACTCTTTCTCTCTGCGCTTGGATTAAGCTTTTCAAAAACTGCCAAGTGCCAGAATCTGATAAAGCGGTTTTCGGGTCCCCCTCCTCCTCCTCCTCCTCCTCCTTCCTCCTCCTTTAAATAGAAGCTGCGGAAACCAAACAAACCGAGGCAATAAGCCCAATCTCATTTTGCTGTTCATAAAGGCTGGCAAGAGCAGGGGTCTCAATGCACAAATCGAATCAGCGCTCCTCTCGACTTGACAGGTTTCTGTCAGGTTTATTCATTTCTGCAAGTGCCGGGATCTCGCTTTTATTTCATAACTGCGAAACAAAAACAACACATTCCGAAAGCCTTCACAACGGCATCTCTCCTCGAAAACACCCAGGGCGGCTTTGCGATAAGAAGAGTCAGTCTTTATGGGAAATTAAAAAGCAACAAGGATTTTGGAAAGAGTAAGAGCCATTCCTTCAAACCCAGAGAATGGCCAGAAAGAGGCCAAACGAAATCTGGAAAATGTCTCCTCTTAAACCAGTGGTTCTCAACGTGGGGGTCGCAACCCCCAGGGGGGTCGCTGGGCCATTTTCTGGGGTTTGCGAAGGCACCTCGGTTGGCCCTGCCCCCTCCGCCTCCTCAAAATGGAGGCGCTCTTGCCGGCTGGCAAGGGCGCGGGGCAAAATTACAGTTATAAAGGAGCAACGCAAATAATTTTATGGTTGGGGGTCATCAGAATCAGGCCCTCCGTCTCCTTTTTCTGAGTTCCATTTGTGAACCACAGCCATGTTTTTTCTTTGTCAATTTGGCTCTCTATTATTATTATTATTATTATTATTATTATTATTATTATTATTATTATTATTATGGACTTCTTTACAACGTAACAGACTTTTCCACTTTGGAAGCCTTTAAAAAGGAGGTTGGATGGCCATCTGCCAGGAGTGCTTTAGCTTTGTTTTCCTGCATGGAAGAAGTGGTTTGAACTAGATTACCCTTTGGGGTCCCCTTCTAATTCTAATACTGGATTATGGACTTCGTTTGCAGGTACTGGACTCTCCTTCTTTGGAGGCTTTTAAACGAGGGTTAGATGGTCATCTGTCGGGAGGGTTTTAGTTGTGTCTTTTGGGAGTTTTGCAAAATTTGAATCTGAAACCTGGAGTGCATTTCCTGGAGTGCAATGGCCCAGCGACCCCCCTGGGGGTTGCGATCCCCACGTTGAGAACCACTGGTTTAAGAGGAGACATTTTCCAGATTTTGTTTGGTCTCTTTCTGGCCATTCTCTGGGTTTGAAGAAATGGATCTTACTCTTGCCGGCTGGCAAGGGCGCGGGGCAAAATTACAGTTATAAAGGAGCAACGAAAATAATTTTATGGTTGGGGGTCATCACAACATGAGGAAGCATATTTAGGGGTCACGGTGTTAGAAAGGTTGAGAACCACTGTCTTAAACATTTTGGATAAGGGAGACTCGAAGTGTATTATAGGGGCCGTGGTGGTGCAATGGGTGAAACCCTTGTGCTGCTGAAATGCTGACCTGACTGTCGGCAGTTCCAATCCACGGGATGGGGTGAACTCCCATCGTTAGCCTTAGCTCCTGCTAACCTAGCAGTTTGAAAACATGCAAATGTGAGTTCTTTATTTACTTAGCGGGTGGTCGCTACTCAGCTCCAAGGATTCTTGGACGATACTGATTATCTGAACCCAGTTCAGTGTACTAAAGTAGTTTCACGCCATTAACTTAGCAGAAAGAAGAAGAGGAAGGATTTAACCCTTTCCAGTTGGCTCAGGCAAAATGCTACCCCTCTATTCTGCTTTGGTTAGACCACACCTGGAATATTGTGTCCAATTCTGGGCACCACAATTCAAGAGAGATATTGACAAGCTGGAATGTGTCCAGAGGAGGGCGACTAAAATGATCAAGGTCTGGAGAACAAGCCCTATGAGGAGCGGCTTAAACAGCTGGGCATATTTAGCCTGAAGAAGAGAAGGCTGAGAGGAGATATGATAGCCATGTATAAATATGTGAGAGGAAGACACAAGGAGGAGGGAGCAAGCTTGTTTTCTGCTTCCCTGGAGACTAGGACGCGGAACAATGGCTTCAAACTACAAGAGAGGAGATTCCATCTGAACATGAGGAAGAACTTCCTGACTGTGAGAGCTGTTCAGCAGTGGAACTCTCTGTCCTGGAGTGTGGTGGAGGCTCCTTCTTTGGAAGCTTTTAAACAGAGGCTGGATGGCCATCTGTCAGGGGTGATTTGAATGCAATATTCCTGCTTCTTGGCAGAATGGGGTTGGACTGGATGGCCCATGAGGTCTATTCCAACTCTTTGATTCTATGATTCTATGATTAACCCTTTCCAGTTGGCTCAGGCAAAAGCAAACTGTGGCAGCCTCTCCTGCTGTTGCTGCTTTGTTTTGTGAACCTATTAAGGTTTTGACCTAGTTGAGAAATTATTGAAATGAGGATGGGTGGCCATCTGTCAGGAGGGCTTGGATGGGGTCTTCCTGCCTGGCGGAAGAGTGTCATGAATACTTTTTGAACCTTAAAATGTTCACACGGGACTCCAGTACCGCTCTTACAATAGTTATATTGGTTGCACAGACAAAAGGGGAAACATCAAATATACTCAGCAGTCACTCAACATACGTTCGACATTCATACTCATCATCCCTTCTGTGGTCAATGCTGCATTCCGCATAGATCTGCCACACAGTCAAAAAAGGAAAAGGGTCTCCTTATGTCTCCTTATTTTTCCCTCCCTCCCTCTTCCCTTCCTTCCCCCTTTTTCTTTCCCTTCTTATTTCTTCCTGTTTCTTTTCTCACTTCCTTTGCTCTTTGGTTCCATCCTTCCTTGTCTCTTTGCTTCCTTCCTTCCCTCCCTCTTTCTCTCTTTCGTTCCTTCTCTCCTTCCTTCCCTATTTCACTTTTATATTTCCCTCTCTCCTTCCTTCTCTGCCTTTCTTTCTTTCCTTCTCTCCTTCCCTCCTTCTTTCCCTCTTTCTCTTCCTTCCTTCCTTCCTTCCTTCCTTCCTTCCTTCCTTCCTTCCTTCCTTCCTTCCGCCTTTCTGTGTATATGTGTTTTGTGTGTGAATATATTTGTGTACATGTGTATATCTGTGTGCTTGTGTATATATGTGGTTTTGTGCATGAGTTGTAATGCATTTTTTGGTTTTTTGGCTTTTTAAGTCCCTTTTGCTGTGTTTTCCAGTGTTTTTATGAGTGATGGTCACTCGTTGGCCTGATAAGATGTATTGTGTCCAAATTTGGTGTCAATTGGCCCAGTGGTTTTTGATCCCACAAACAAACTTTACATTTTTATTTATATAGATAATAATAATAATAATAATAATAATAATAATAATATTTATTTATACCCCATCTCCCCAAGGGGACTCAGAGTGGCTTACATGAGGCCAAGCCCAGCAATACAACAATGCAAATGTACAACATAAGAATACAACAATAAAATATAAAAAATAAAATACAATAAAATACAGGAAACATGTGTTGTTTACACCAAGGTCAGTTATCTGGATTTCTCATAAGCACTTTTCATGCCATGGTTAATGAATTCTTCCCTTCCTCCATAATGCCATTTTCAAGTTTCAATTTTGGGATGATGTCAGTCTTCAGCCTTGCCAGACCTTAATAGGCCCCAGCCAGGCCACAATCATACAATCACATTCAATCCATCCATCACAAGGGGGCTGGACTGGGTGGCCTTTGGAGTCCCCTTGGGCTGTGGTTGGCACAATGGGTTAAACCCTTGTGCTGCTGAATCTGCTGACTTGAAGGTTGGCAGTTCAAAGCCGCAAGTCGGGATGAGCTCCCGCTATTAGCCCTAGCTCCTGCAAACCTAGCAGTTTGAAAGCATGAAAATGTGAGTCGATCAATAGGTATCACTTCAGCGGGAAGGTAGGTGCCCCCAGTGGCGCAGTGGGTTAAACCTCTGTCCCGGCAGGTTCGAATCCGGGGAGAGGCGGATGAGCTCCCTCTATCAGCTCCAGCTCCTCATGCGGGGACATGAGCGAAGCCTCCCACAAGGATGATAAAAACATCAAAACCCACAAGAATGATTAAAACATCAAAATAATCCAGGCGTCCCCTGGGCAACATTCTTGCAGACAGCCAATTCTCTCACACCAGGAGTCACTCCTGACACGACAAAAAAAAAAAGCGGGAAGGTAATAAAGGCACCCATGCAGCCATGCTGGCAGAGCGACCATGAGGTGTCTATGGACAACAGGCTCCTCGGGTTGGAAAGGGAAAAAGAGCACCACTTCCCATGGCCAGAGTTGAGCACTGTTTCCAGAAGGTGGAGATGAAAGGGGAAGCCTTTACCTTTGTTCTGTGTTTGTGTGTTGTTGTTATTTCACTGTATTGAAGGCATTGAATGTTTGCCTATGTTGTAATCCACTCTGAGTCCCCTCGGAGAGATAGAGCCGAAGATAAAGTGTCATTGTTGTTTTTGTTGTTGAATTTTATGCTTTTCTTCCTCTTTTCCTACAGATTAAGTTCGACAGCGACAGCGTCTGTGTCTGCTGTGAGTTGCAGCACCAGAACTCGGGCTGCAGCCTCGGGGAGATGCTGAAGCTGAACCCCCTGCAGGAATGCAACAGGGTCCGGCTGACTCTCAAGGTAAGGCTGAAGGCACCCTCTTCCCTTCCCTTCTCTTGCTAAGACCTCACAGCTTCACTTACTGAACAGTCCTCAATCTTGCTGAGTTCATAGAATCATAGAATCAAAGAGTTGGAAGAGACCTCATGGGCCATCCAGTCCAACCCCTACCAAGAAGCAGGAATATTGCATTCAAATCACCCCTGACAGATGGCCATCCAGCCTCTGTTTAAAAGCTTCCAAAGAAGGAGCCTCCACCACACTCCGGGGCAGAGAGTTCCACTGCTGAACGGCTATCACAGTCAGGAAGTTCTTCCTCATGTTCAGATGGAATCTCCTCTCTTGTAGTTTGAAGCCATTGTTCCGCGTCCTAGTCTCCAGGGAAGCAGAAAACAAGCTTGCTCCCTCCTCCTTATGACTTCTCTCACATATTTATACATGGCTATCATGTCTCCTCTCAGCCTTCTCTTCTTCAGGCTAAACATGCCCAGCTCTTTAAGCCGCTCCTCATAGGGCTTGTTCTCCAGACCCTTGATCATTTTAGTCACCCTCCTCTGGACACATTCCAGGTTGTCAATATCTCTCTAGATGTTCCTCAGTGAGACCAAATGCCCAAAGTGAGCATCCAGTTGGTATAAATTCCTCACAGCAACAATTGGACATTTTTGACCAATCCACATTGTCTTGCACACTCATCACTAGCGGCTATTCATCGCGTAGCTCTGTGAGTGCTCAGTCTCCTTTCTGTACGACATCTATAGAGGCAACTTTGTTGACCATCTAGTCCAAAAGTGAAGAATGTGGGGAACCCACAAACAATATAAGGATACACCTTGAAGACCCAATTTTGGACTGCCTTTCGGCCCCTAAAACACACCTTGTGTGCCTTCAAGTGGTTATTGACTTATAGTGACCCATCAAGGATCATTCTTGGTCATATTTGTTCAGAGGCTGTTTGCCATGGCCTTCCTCTGAGGCGGAGAATTTAGGATGTGCCCAAGATCCTCCAACAGGTTTTGGCTACAGAGCAAGGATCTAAAGCTTGATTTCCAAGAATCCTGGTGTATCACCTCCTACATGCTTTGAAGGGTCACAACTTGCATTTTTCTTTATCTGGTTACAGTTATAGCTCACCATGTTTATACCTTTGTTTATACCCATGGCTTTTGTACTCCATCAGAGGAACTGGATCAAAATCCACAAAAGCTCACTCTCAAATAAATCACTTGGTCTTGAAGGTACTCCTAGATTCCTCTCCTTCTATTTTGGTTATTTTTAAATGCAATTAAGCTATCTACAATAGTCCAAACCATTAAAAACCTATCCATTAAGAGGCAAAAGATAGCACAGTATGCTTTTATGGGCCTTTTGCTTGCAAGCCAGTCAGTTTGGGATCAAAAGGTCTTGACGTAGCAATGGAAGCCCACCAAGGAAGACGTAGATCTAGTTTCTGCAAGAACTAGGCTCCAGATCTTGGGAGAAACCATAAAGATAAAGATGTGCCCTTTATGTTTTCCCTTTTTTGAGCAAAGCTCAAAAGGATATGATAAATGTGTTCCCGTCAGCGCTGACATTTATTTTAGAATTGCAGTCGACATATGCTCATTGCCTTAAAGCCTTGAAGAAAGCCAACATACATGTTGACTTTGTCCGTTCCTAAGAGAGTCTTCTAGCATCATTAAGGCTGGAACTAAAAGTGTGTGTGTGTGTTTTTAAAAAGTCCTTCTTCCCGTTCAAACTGTTTTATTGAAAGCAAAATGCTCCCTCGAGGAACGACAAAAGCAAAAAAGATTTGATGACGAGAGGACTCTGTAACCTCCTACAGATGAATCAAAATAAGTGGCTTCATTCAGAAAGGCAGATTCTGTCCCTCTGTCAATATAGCCAATGGGTGGTATTACCATATCTGAAACCACTTTTTGGGAAACGATATTTACGAAACTGGAAATGGCAACTGTGGGAAGCTTTTCAATGGCACAGTGGATCTACTCCAGATTTTGGCCTGAATTTTAATGTAGGTAAAGGTAAAAGTAAAGGTTTCCCCCTGACATTAAGTCCAGTCGTGTCCGACTCTGGGGTGTGGTGCTCATCTGCATTTCTAAGTCGAAGAAATGCATTGTCCGTAGACACCTCCAAGGTCATGTGGCCGGCATGACTGTATGGAGTGCCGTTACCTTCCCACTGGAGCAGTACTTATTGATCTACTCACATTTGCAAATTTTCAAACTGCTAGGTTGGCAGAAGCTGGGGCTAACAGCAGAAGCTCACGCTGCTCCCCGGATTCGAACCTGCGACCTTTTGGTCAACAAGCTCAGCGGTTTAACCCACTGCGTCATCGGGGGCTCCCATGTTTTAATGTACTGAACCAATTTTAATGTACTGAACCTATAAAAAAGGTTCAAACAACTCAAACCTGGAGTGGCCTTATCAACCCTTTGACAAGCTAGTATTGAATAGAAATGACCTTTTGGCAGACCATGACTAGGTTTGGGGGCAGGAATTGGGTTGTAGACCTCTGGAGCAGTGTTTCTCAACCTGGGTATCGTTATCCCTGGTAAGGTCACGAGGGGGTATCAAAGGGGTCACCAAAGACCATCGGAAAACACAGTATTTTCTGTTGGTCATGGGGATTCTGTGTGGGAAGTTTGGCCCAATTCTATTGTTGGTGGGGTTCAGAATGCTCTTTGATTATAGGTGAACTATAAATCCCGGAACTGCAACTCCCAAATGTCAAGGTCTATTTTCCCCAAACTCCACCAGTGCTCACATTTGGGTATATTGAGTATTCGTGCCAAGTTTGGTCCAGATCTATAATTGTTTGAGTCCACAGTATTCTCTGGATATAAGTGAACTACAACTCTAAAACTCAAGGTAACTGCACGCCAGACCCTTCCAGTATTTTGTCTTGGTCATGGGAGTTCTGTGTGCCAAGATTGGTTCGATTCCATCATTGGTGGAGTTCATCTGGGATTTATAGTTATTGTAGGTGAACTATAAATCCCAGCAACTACAACTCCCAAATGTCAAGGTCTATTTTACCCAAACTCCACCAGTGTTCACATTTGGCATATTTATTTTATTTATTTATTTACAGCTTTTATATTCCGCCCTTCTCACCCCGCAGGGGACTCAGGGCGGATTACAGTGTACACATATATGGCAAACATTCAATGCCAATTTTTGGCATACAAACATATACAGACATACACAGAGGCTATTTAATTTTTTCTGGCCACCAGGGAAGCTGTCGCTTTCATCGTCCATCTGAGACGCTGATGGACGATGGTCAGAGTGATCTTAATGCAGCTGACACTCAGTCAGCTGCGCCACAATCCCGGTGCATAGTGAGTATTAGTGGCAATTTTTGTCCAGATCTATCATTGTTTGAGTCCATAGTGCTCTCTGAATGTAGGTGAACTACAACTCCAAAACTCAAGGTCAATGCCCGCCAAAACCTTCCAGTATTTTCTGTTGGTCATGGGAGTTCTGTGTGCCAAGGTTGGTTCAATTCCATCGTTGGTGGAGTTCAGAATGCTCTTTGATTGTAGGTGAACTATAAATCCCAGCAACTACAACTCCCAAATGACAAAATCAATCCCCAACCCCACCAGTATTCAAATTTGGGCATATGGGGTATGTGTGCCAAATTTGGTCCAGTGAATGAAAATACATCCTGCATATCAGATATTTACATTACTATGTATTGTCGAAGGCTTTCATGGCTGGAATCACTGGGTTGTTGTAGTTTTTTTGGGCTATATGGCCATGTTCTAGAGGCATTCTCTCCTGACGTTTTGCCTGCATCTATAGCAAGGTCTCTTCCAACTCTATGATTCTATAACCATCCTCAGAGTTTGTGAGGTCCATAAAAGTAGCAAAATTACAGTTATGAAGTAGCAACAAAAATCATTTTATGGTTGAGGGTCACCACAACATTAGGAACTGTATTAAGGGGTTGCGGCACTAGGAAGGTAGAATACCACTGCTCTAGAGGTTCCCCATTTCTTGTGTGAAGCTCAGGGGATGGGTTTTCTGAGTCTGTTATAAGATAATTCTTGCTCCTCCCAAGTTCCCCATTCCCATGTTGGGATCCTTCAAGGCAGCTACTCTGGCTTCTTCGGTGCAGCTCATGGTTATTAGTAATCTAAAACAATAGCATTACAGCCAGCCTGTCCTTGGTTTCCCAACATAAAAGGAATAGTACAGAGAGAGCAATTTCATGGGTGAAAGACCTTGACTGCTCATTATCCCTTTCCAGGTGATTGTGGGTCTATAGGCAGTGAAGCCTTGTAATTGGAGGCAATCAAGGGGAAAAGACATTGTCTTTACAGCACGACCCGAGCAGGGCTTGTTTGCAGAGCTAGACCAGTAACACCATGAAGCCATTGCTCTTATGGGTAACCCTCCTCGGTCATAACTGAACTGCCCTGGACACAGAGGGAGGGAAGAAGAGGCTCCAGGATGGAAGCACGTGAGAGGCCCTCTATAGCACACAGGCACCACCTAAAATATGAACGCGTGCTCACCAAAATTATAAAGCCATCAAAAGGAAGATGAAGTATGGTTGCTTATTTATTTATTTATTTATTTATTTATCGTGTCAGGGGCAGACCAAACAGTTGCATTGTATTTTTTAACAAAACAAACAAACAAAACACAAAGTTTGCAAGTTTTGTAGTTGATTAAATGTCCTTTGACCAGTATCTGGCCACTTGGAGTGCCTCTGGTGTTGCCGCAAGGAGGTCCTCCATTGTGCATGTACCAGGGCTCCGGTTGCATTGCAGCAGGTGGTCAGTGGTTTGCTCTTTTCCCCACTCGCATGTCGTGGATTCCACTTTGTGGCCCCATTTCTGAAGGTTGGCTCTGCATCTCGTAGTGCCAGAGCGCAGTCTGTTCAGCGCCTTCCAAGTCGCCCAGTTTTCCGTGTGCCCAGGGGGGAATCTCTCATTTGGTATCAGCCATTGATTGAGGTTCTGGGTTTGAGCCTGCCACTTTTGGACTCTCGCTTGCTGGGGTGTCCC